CTTAAATCTTTCCATAAAAATGTTTTCCTCACGCTCTAGTCACAAACGGGGTACCCACCAAGTACCACCACTTACCCCACCTCTGACGAGCGCAATATATGGGGTAAAACTCTTTCAACTTTTCACGAGAATCTTGCAATGCCTCGTGGGATTTGTAGTTCCACAACAGCTAGCGGGCCGAAGTTTGCCCACCCCCCGCTCTAAGCCAATAGATGGAAATGAGTGCTGAAGGTTTGCAGAATTGAATCAGCCTCCGGTGGAATGTTGTCTCCGGCTGGCTCCAATGCATCCGCTATAGGGAAATGGATGGGAGTCAATGCTAGGTGACATTTTGCTGCCCATCCAAAAAGGATGGGCAGCAAACATGTTCAACATGTTCTTTGGTATATCAATGAAGGAGGTATGTTCACCATTCACGTGTCCATGATGGGTGTAATCTGGGTGCCAGTAGCCCAAAGCTCCTCCTATGCTCAGCCTCAATCCTAGGAAGAAAAAGCTGGCCGCTCTCCATTCAGAGTGGATAGAACTAGACTGATCCGGACAAACATAGAGCCAACACCGGGTACCTAGCCCTCTGATGGGCTCCTCCCAACCTTGCTGAACACTACACAGGAAGGAGGTCCAGGGCGGGGACTCTGTGCTTGTCCGGATCATAGATTTACATCTGTGTGAATTGTAACAAAGTGACGCCAAATTTTCTTCCGGTTCTTTAGAAAGTTGAAGGTTGCCCTGGGCTCCTAGAGAAGCAGAGCGTGCTGAGGAGGTAAGTGGTGGCTGGCTATGCTACTAGCCCATTACTAAGAATTATGGTCTTAACTAGGCATGCACCGATACTGGTTTCTCGTTATCGAGTACCGATATTATTTTGCCGATACCAAATACCGATACCGGACGTCCCATTAAAAAGGAAGCCAGGCAGCGTATAATGACTCACCACCCAGCTTCCCGATCAGCCATCTCCATGCTTCCTCCTCACCAGGTGACAAGGGAGCATGAAGGCAGATTTCTGGCCAATCAGGAAGCTCGGTGGGGCGGGTAATGACTTGCAGTCCGGCTTCCTAATTGGCCAGGAAGCTAGGGGGCGAGTCCTTACACGCTGCTCGGCTTCCAGATTGGCCGAGAAGCTGGCTCCATGCTCCCTCGTCACCAAGTGTGACGAGAGAGCATGGAGCCGGCTTCCTGGCCAATCAGAAACCCGGGCAATGTGTAATGACTCACTGCCCGGCTTCCCGATACCGGAAGTTCCGGTATCGGAGCATTTGAGCAAGTACGAGTACTCGCCCAAATACTCGGCACCGGTGCATCCCTAATCGTAACGATAGATAGGGAGAGGCCACCACCACCACCACCACCCAAAACATGAGAGCTGATCACTAACCCCTCCTCAGGGCACCTCCCTGGTGGGCAAACCCGAAGGCACCAACTCCACCGCATAAGTGTCCGCTACAGAGGGGTTATTTGGCCAAAGATTGTCTCTGATGGAAGCAGAAATTCCCTAAATCATTCATCACATAGCAGGTGTTGGGTGACACGGCCCTGACGCCAGAATACAACCCATGAACTCTCTTTAGAATCACAACTACAAGAACAAAAACATGCAAAATGGTATCTAGCCGCCATCCCATGGTGGTTTCCAAGCACCTGACTGCGTGCACCAGCTTGTGGGGTGTCTACGTTACCCCCAAACTCTACCGGGATAACATTCTAATGGTAACATAGACATCGATCACTCAGATGAATCAATTCAATTGTGGAAAACTATATAAGAATTCGGAATACAGAGACAATGCTTAACTGATCAGAGACTTCCAGTGCTGGTGACACCGGGGCAATGGTGTGAGCTGAACGTCAGACACACACACACAGAGAGAGACACACACACACAGAGAGAGACACACACAGACAGAGAGAGAGACACACACAGAGAGAGAGAGAGACACACACACACAGAGAGAGAGAGAGACACACACACAGAGAGAGAGAGACACACACACAGAGAGAGAGAGAGAGAGACACACACACACACACACACAGAGAGAGAGAGACACACACACACAGAGAGAGACACACAGACACACACACAGAGAGAGAGAGACACACAGACACACACACAGAGAGAGAGAGAGACACACACACACAGAGAGAGAGAGACACAGACACACACACAGAGAGAGACAGACACACACACAGAGAGAGACACACAGACACACACAGAGAGAGAGACAGAGAGAGACGACACACACACAGAGAGACACACAGAGACACACACAGACAGAGAGAGACACAGACACGGAGAGACACACACACAGAGAGAGAGAGAGAGAGAGAGACACACAGAGAGACACACACACAGAGAGAGAGAGGAGAGAGACACACAGAGAGAGAGACACACACACACACACACAGAGAGAGAGACACACACAGAGAGAGAGAGAGAGAGAGAGAGACACACAGAGAGAGAGAGACACACACAGAGAGAGACACAGAGACACACACACAGAGAGAGAGAGACACACAGACACACAGAGACACACACACACAGAGACACACACGGAGAGACACACACGGAGAGACACACACACGGAGAGACACACACGGAGAGACACACACACGGTGACACACAGACACGGAGAGACACACACGGTGACACACACACACAGAGAGAGAGAGACACGGAGACACACACACACAGACACACACACACACACACGGAGACACACGGAGACACACACACACACACACAGAGAGAGAGACACGGAGACACACACACACACAGACGCACACACACAGACACACACACACAGAGAGAGAGAGAGACACGGAGACACACACACACAGACACACACACACAGACACACACACACACAGACACACACACACGGAGACACACACGGAGACAGAGAGAGAGAGACACGGAGACACACACACACAGACGCACACACACAGACACACACACACACACACACACACAGAGAGAGACACAGAGAGAGACACAGAGAGAGACACAGATAGAGACACTTTGTTATGATTGGACGTGGTTGTATATGAGTTTGGAACGCGTGAGCAATCTTTCTCGGTGGGCAAGGATTGCTTCCGTAGTAAAGATCTTTGAGTCTGGCGAGTACGATGTCACATCTCGGGGGTCTTCACTGGTTCCTCGGGGGATTCTCCACAACAGCAGATAAGGCGAATGGGAAATTCAGTTCTGCAACATTGGCCTTGTGGTCACCAGGACAGGAAGTGAGGGGGAAATTTCCCCACACAGTAAACAAACGGCATAAAAACCTGGACAAGAAAGTGGGATGTGGTGCTACCGAGCCCTAATATCGGGTCACTGTCCTAAAGAACCATAGGCTAAGCACCAGTAGGGGCTGGTCCTAAGCCTTACAAGCTACGCAAGTCCATAGTAAAAAGAAGCTGTCTGCACGCTGCATGGATTTTAACCATGGCAACGTTAGACCAAGAGTCCCGTCTAGGACCACCCCCCTATAACGCATTTCACCCACCAGGCTGGGCTTATTAAACCCAGTCGTGCATGTGAAACGCGTCAGTGGAAGAGGTCCCACGTAGGGGGCTGAATAACGGTGCCAGCATTTGAAACCACATGAAGCAGCCAGCTTTCCCACCCCTATGGACTTGCATAGAATAAAAACCTGACAAATCATCTTACCCTTCCCTACTCTACCCTGTAAGAAACCAGCCTGGATAAAGTTCAATGTTAAAAAATACAAAACATTCAGCATGTAAGGAAAGCGGTACGGAGTGGCTTTACCTTTCCGGAACCCTGCCATGAAACTTCTGGGTTTGTGGATTAGAGTTCTACTTTAAAAACTGGGAAGGGGGGGGTGGAGGAATCCTCAGCAGTTTTACCCAACACACACACTCAATGCAATTAAAAGGACGACGGGGGGAGGGGAGATGCCATTAAAATACATAGCTGCCAAGATCAAACTTTCTACACGGAAGGCTGAATGTCACAGTGTACACACTCATGTCGTAGCTGCGCCTATGGGCTTTGGGTGCAAAAGAAACCTGGAAAGAGGTTCTCCGTTATGGGTGTACAGCCCTCCGCTCCAAAAAGTGGAGATCTGTGGAAAAGAAAAAAGTTCTCCAGACGATCGGGACAATCCATTACAACAAAACCGATGGTGAGGGCCAAGATACCTGAAGGGACAGGCTGGTGTCCACGTTGTCCCATCAGGGCAAGCAGAAGGTCCAATACCATGCATTCCTAAAAAAAAGCCCTGTATGAAAATCAAAGCAGTGTTGGAGTGGTTGCAGGCGCATTCTGACCCTTGACCTCTGGCCAGCCTAAGGAGTTGAGGCTTGTAGAACAGGGTTAACCTTGAGGTCTAGGCCACCAAAGGGACTGAGTGTTGAGGAACAGGGTAACCCTTGAGCTCTAGGCCACTGAAGGAGCTGAGGGTTGACTTTGAGGTCTAGGTCACCAAGGGAACTGAGGGTTGTAGTACACAGTAGAGGACTTCATCTGGTCCTTGACCTTTAGGCCACCGAAGGAGCTGAGGGTTGTAGAACACAGTAGACTTCATCTGGTCCTTGAGCTCTAGGCCACCGAAGGAGCTGAGAGTTGTAGAACACAGTAGAGGACTTCATCTGGCACTTGAGTTCTAGGCCACCGAAGGAGCTTAGGGTTGTAGAACACAGTAGAGGACTTCATCTGGTCCTTGACCTTTAGGCCATAGAAGGAGCGGAGGGTTGTAGAACACAGTAGAGGACTTCATCTGGTCCATGACCTTTAGGCCATCGAAGGAGCTGAGAGTTGTAGAACACAGTAGAGGACTTCATCTGGCCCTTGAGCTCTGGCCCACCTAAGGAGCTCGGGTTTGTAGAACTTGGTAGTACCCTCCATAGAACAGCATGGAGTACCATAGTGTATCAGAACAGAAAGAGACAAGTTAAGAGATCCATCTAACAGCAATATTCGGACAGATGTACTGAACGTAAAACGGATTGCTCCTCTACTTGCTGTCCTCTGGTCTTCATGCCATTGGTTGGATCGCTCTCCAGTGTTGCACTATATAAGTGGGGGGGGGGGGGGGGGGGAAGGCACCTTTCCTGGTGGACTATAAGAACTCAAACTCATCTGAGCTGGGTCTCTTAGTCATTACTCCCCTCTTGCGGCGACTTAGGGCGAAAGAGGAGAGGGCCAGTCCCTCGGAGGCGTGCAATTCCTGAGCCTTGCCTTCAGAGATACTGAAGACGGGGTACTTCTCTTCTGCTGATGGAGAACTTAGTACCTAGCGGGCAGAAAAATGTGCCGATCAGTAACTTTTCATGGCAGGAGAGAATCATTTTTTACTAACCCTACATGGAGCCACATATGCAGAGCTCAGGGTACAGTGACGGCCATTGGTGTGCATGCAGGGGCCCCAAAACTTACATGAAGTTTAGCTCTGGTTTAAATGCCAATATGTAAATTAGGCTCATCAGTCCAAACCAGATCAAGAGAGCTGGAGAGAATTCCCCCGGCTGGGCCCTATGGAAGATAGAGAATTCCCCCCGGCCGGGCCCCATGGAAGAGAGAGAATTCCCCCCGGCCGGGCCCCATGGAAGAGAGAGAATTCCCCGGCTGGGCCCTATCTTCCATGGGGCCCGGCCGGGGGAATTCTCTCTCTCTTCCATAGGGCCCTGCCGGGGGGAATTCTCTCTCTCTTCCATAGGGCCCTGCCGGGGGGAATTCTCTCTCTCTTCCATAGGGCCCTGCCGGGGGGAATTCTCTCTCTCTTCCATAGGGCCCTGCCGGGGGGAATTCTCTCTCTCTTCCATAGGGCCCTGCCGGGGGGAATTCTCTCTCTCTTCCATAGGGCCCTGCCGGGGGGAATTCTCTCTCTCTTCCATAGGGCCCTGCCGGGGGGAATTCTCTCTCTCTTCCATAGGGCCCTGCCGGGGGGAATTCTCTCTCTCTTCCATAGGGCCCTGCCGGGGGGAATTCTCTCTCTCTTCCATAGGGCCCTGCCGGGGGGAATTCTCTCTCTCTTCCATAGGGCCCTGCCGGGGGGAATTCTCTCTCTCTTCCATAGGGCCCTGCCGGGGGGAATTCTCTCTCTCTTCCATAGGGCCCTGCCGGGGGGAATTCTCTCTCTCTTCCATAGGGCCCTGCCGGGGGGAATTCTCTCTCTCTTCCATAGGGCCCTGCCGGGGGGAATTCTCTCTCTCTTCCATAGGGCCCTGCCGGGGGGAATTCTCTCTCTCTTCCATAGGGCCCTGCCGGGGGGAATTCTCTCTCTCTTCCATAGGGCCCTGCCGGGGGGAATTCTCTCTCTCTTCCATAGGGCCCTGCCGGGGGGAATTCTCTCTCTCTTCCATAGGGCCCTGCCGGGGGGAATTCTCTCTCTCTTCCATAGGGCCCTGCCGGGGGGAATTCTCTCTCTCTTCCATAGGGCCCTGCCGGGGGGAATTCTCTCTCTCTTCCATAGGGCCCTGCCGGGGGGAATTCTCTCTCTCTTCCATAGGGCCCTGCCGGGGGGAATTCTCTATCTTCCATAGAGAATTCCCCCGGCTGGGCCCTATGGAAGAGAGGATTCCCCCGGCTGGGCCCTATGAAAGAGAGAGAATTCCCCGGCTGGGCCCTATGGAAGAGAGAGAATTCCCCGGCTGGGCCCTATGGAAGAGAGAGAATTCCCCCGGCCGGGCCCCATGGAAGAGAGGGGATTCCCCGGCTGGGCCCTATGGAAGAGAGAGGATTCCCCGGCTGGGCCCTATGGAAGAGAGGGAAAGACGAGCTGAGTGGGCACAGTGTATCCTAGGACCCGCCCCCCTCCAGCCCCTCCCCCGGTATAGATTACACGCCGCGCACCTGTAACAGATGGTCACACAGAGCTCCGAAGTCGGCGCGATTTCTGGCGTAGAAAGCAAATGTGCAGCTCGGATCCATCTTCACTACGGACATCTTCCGGGGGGAGTTACAGTGACAACTCTACAGAGGAAATATACAGACATCAGTACACGCCGACCTCTCCCCTCCTCC